TCGATTATTATGGCAGAGTAGTCTGCTAGCTCGAAGCTCTGTGACAGCAAACACACACAAAAATTGTAGGTGAAGTTAGTTGAAGCTAGCACTCCCGTGAAGGAGAGGGGCTTACGGTAGAGCAGAATAGTAGGGTGGCCGGGCACTCACCTTCTTTACTTCCTGAAGGAGAATACCATCCGTCATGAACTTTATTTGCGTCTTTGAGGACACATTTTTCTCGTAGCGAATATGATAGCTGACCTCACTGAAGAGAAAAGACGCGAGTCAGAGAGGGTAAAAAGGGCCTAGTCGACAAGTGGTGTTAGAGGCCAGTTAAAAAGAAAATACCAACGCACGTGAGGCTTGTTACGGTTCAACGCGCGCACACTTAGATCAGCAAACATTTCACAGTTATGCTGTTCCGTCCTGCAAGTTACGGGATAGAATATCGCGATAGGCTGGTGAGCACTATCCCGATCAACACTACTCCCTAAAGATCAAAATTGTAGTTTTTAACTGCGCAAAATGCCGGAAAACGCAGCTGTCAGAGTAGGATTCAAATTTCCCCGATTAATGCACCGTCAACCTAGCCGCTGGCTGGCCGGTGCATTTACAGGCGGCGGATAAACGAACGGTTAATTGTGAAATAAGTACTCTGAGGTCTAGCGAATGAGAACTCGAGCAGAACGCGGAGGGCTGAGAGCTGACACGTTAAAAGCCTTATAAAAAGGTCGCAAAACCCGATGAAGACACTGTGACATGGCGATCGTGAACCGCCATGAAATAGGTTTGCTTGCGATCACTGCCTTGTCAAAAGGCTATAGCAGACAACCCCGAACCAAAACAATCTGAGAGGCTGTCGGGAACCCATTACAATCGCCAAGAAAACCCATGAAATATGTCAGGCTTAGACATGATCGAGACCAGCTAGATAAAACATAACGATATACGTACCAAGTACAAGTAAGGGTTGTTCACACAAGACCGTCCTCGAGAAAACCAATTGCAATGATTTACGCTTTTTTTAAATTGGCCGCCAGTTTTCCCACTTCATTGGCCATGGACAGCTTTCTGGCTTTTATAAATAACGCTGATTATTTGCTTGGCTGATAATGACGCTGTGTGCTAAGGCCCTAAGTCAAAAAACAAATCTTTTCGCAAATTTTCAGAATAAAGTATTGTAAATGTTTTACCAAAAATAGTAAATACTAAAAAAACAAAGGCACCTTCTTCTTCTATCTTTAAACGCACAGCGCCATGTGTACTAATTAGCGCGAAATAAGGCACGTGTATAAACGGCTTTTTTTCTGTAAAACCGCCCTTTCTCCACCAGACAAAGACTCCGTAGAATGCAATAGTCAAGTCAGTTGCTTTAAACACAAACAAAGTACTTGCCCGTCTTTTAGATTCAGCTCTTCAGCAACGCGTTCAGACATGGAAATTGCCGCAACTCGCCGAGGCTCTGTAACACCGATCTTGTAGTTGTTTCTGAAATAAGATGAGTTAAAAGTTAGGTCACAATCAACATAGGGTACATTTATTTTCAATGATTTCACCCCAAAAGTTCTCCCAGTGTCACAGATGGCTCCAGGGCACAAGTCACATTTGAATAATTAATTTAACCCATCGAGGCCACCGAGTTTTCATACATGAATCATACCATCTTATTTGCTATCGCTCAGGAATACGAGTCTCTGCGGGCAATTCCTGGGTTACTTGTCGCCTGCAAATCTCACAACAAATAACCCATAAGAATGTATCGGTGTGGCAAAGTGATACCCCAAAAAACCTGTTTATTAGAGCAAGATGACAATAACATTTCTGTAAACGCAACTGTCGAGTGACAATTGTTTCATTATCAGACAGGTGAGAGTAAGAACAAGCTTGGATAGAACAAGTGGAAATGAGTACGGCTCTATTCATCTCAAAACTGGCGTAAGGGTACTGAAACGCGAAATTAAACAGTAGTTAATGCGGTGACATGACAAGTCGACGCACGGAGCCAAAGTAAATGGCAAGGACAAAATTGAACATTAAAAGTTTTTGCAGTGCTCAATCTCAGATTATTTCCTACAAGTAAACCACTCAGAAGGCCTAACATCCGAGGTTTAATTGAAGGTCGTGCAAATTACTTCAGTTTGCCGACAAACAAATATTCTAGACAAGACATCCCGAACTACCGAATAGACAGAAACCAAAACATCATAGCCGAATTGTGACTAATTACGTCGTCTAATAATGCGCTCTTTCGGAGCATGAAGTCCGGAATGAAGACACGCATTAGATAAATTTTTCCACGTTCTGCAAAACGCTTCATATAGAATTGAAAACATGAGTTTTTACGGACCGGGTAAAATGAATCTGCCCAGTTGGTCTTGGAAAAGCCAATGCGTTATTCAGTTTAAGAGTCATCGGTTGTTTACTATGGAAATCCCCCTTGTTGACTTCGTGTTTTCAGCTAACACAATCTCAATGAATCTGTTACTGTCATGGACTTTTGTATGGCTATCCTTGCTGGCCTTGCTGTACTTTCGCATAGAGCAGCCGCTTCTGACGCAATTTTCGTTGAAAATAAATGGCTTAAAGTACAGTAGACTTTCCATGGTGGTTATAAGGTGCTAGAATACAGCAGACACTGGCTGAAAACTCTGATGAAACAGTCAAACTGGACAACTGTGCAAGATCTGCCATCTTTCTGGTGGATCTAAACTTCAGAGATTTGCGTTGCGAAACTGCATGCATGTTGATCCTGCTCTGCGTCTGCGCAGAGGAGGCTGTGATGCTGGCAAGCTCTGTTGTGAAAATAGGATAAGAGCGAAGGGAGACACAGTGGGCGAGAGGATCGTGTTGTTTGCTTGGATACGGTATACAAAGTTCTAAGGCTAGTGCACAGATTCTGTTACGTCGAGTCCAAATAAGCACCGAACCGGAAGGACGACTAATAAACCCAGAAAAATAGTTGTTCAGGAACACGAACTTTCAACTGCGTCCCTTTCTAGTGATTTAAATGGCTCGATAAATTGCTGCGTTTAAGTGAATCCGACTAAGTCCAGAACGCTAGCTTATATGATCCCGGCTACGGTTGGTGACACAGTAGAGGAGAGCACCTGAAACGTGGGTCGAGGTGATGAAAGGCGTCCTAAATCGTGGTGATTATGGCTGACCTGCAAACTGAGTCCGAGCAGCTCAAGCGTTTTTTTCCGACAAACTAAATATGCGAATTAATCATTGGTGATGCAAAGAACTAATAAGGAAATCATCGCATTACTCATTATTAATTTTGTTACTGGTAATCGGGTACTTATTGCGAAAATATAGATAGAGACACGAATGTCAGTGAGCAACTGCCCGTTATAGAACTGGAAATACGCTATCTTCCTCGCTTTTTCAGGAAAAATAAACCAAAAGGAAAAACACTAAGTGTTGTGACTGTTTAGCAAAGCCTAGATCATCAAGGATATTGCTTCCACGGCCGGCAAAAAACATTAATATTCTACGGGCACACGTCAAGCGGATAAAAGTCTTCTCAGTTCCTACATTTGCCGAGAAATACATTAATTAGGCAGAATGTACGGTGGCTTATCCAGTTCAACAGTATCCAAATTGCCTTCATGGAAAAGGGTTTAGAGTTCGGAGTTGAAGACGTCATGGAACAGCATCATATTGCAAAAAGAGACAACAGATTTTCTAAAACTTACTGCGTATAACCAGCTTCGTATAGAAATTGAGGAATTTGAGTAGTTTTTCCGCATCCAGTGGCCCCGCAGATGATAACCACATCATTTTCTGAAATAGCCTCCATTATATTGGACTCTTCCGCAACTATCGGTAGAGCCACGCGCATTGACTGTATCTCTGGTGTCCGGTTAACGAGCACATAATTCGACTTCTTGCAAGGTACATCAACAACAAGAACATTCTCCGGAGGGTTACGGGTGGGCGATTTCTCTCTCTCCGGTTCGGTTGTTCGAGGGAGTTCCGAAACACTTGAATCTTCCTGTTTTGGTGCCTCTTCGGAAGAACTGAACTCATCAGTATCCGTGGATGTGTCAGCAGAACTAGATTCTGACTGGCACCATTTTTGCAATGTACTTAAACGTGCTTTCGAAATCCTAACTGTCAGAAATTATATAAGCTACAACTTCTCAGTTTTTCTCTCTTTTTTCCGGTTACGACTGAAAAGGTTCCCTGAAGTCGACTTGTCAGATGGTTGTGTGGCGTACGCTTCCAGTTCATCCCACAGCTCTTTTCGCTAAAAGAGGCTGAAGAAATGTGTGATAACCATACTGATAGTTTTTTGGTTTTTTTGGCGACCTGCTTCTGAAGCTCTTTTCTTTTCGACTTCGACAACACACGCAAAGGTTGAACAGCAACATTTTTGGCTTTCTGTTTAGGTTTTTTCTTGCCAGGAAGAACTAACTGGTTGCTGTCATCATATTTGCCTTCCGAAATGTCTCCAATAACAGATTTGTCAATAATAGACTTCTCCATGTGCCGCAATTAGAAGTACACCTTAATCGAAAAAACGCCGGTTTATCTAATAAATCAAACAAATTTCACATGCCTATGCCTTGAATACCCCAAGTTATTACATGTCATGATTCCAACTATTAGCATTTTGCAGAAAAATTACAGCATCTGTAGTAATATATCGTTTTATGTCAATTATTTCTTAGAGTTGTGCATTAAATCTAAATAATCCAGTAGTCAGTCGAAATGGAAATTGCACATCAGTCATCTTTCTCCTGATTTTATGAGCTACATAAAACAGGCACCGCTACTCTCAGCAAAACTTGCATGCAACGTTGAGGCTATCTGCCATACTACAAAGGTCCTGGAATTGCCTATCCTTGAAGTTATGTCCTACTGCTAACCACCAAGGAGAGACCTCGGGGTTGACGCTCATCTGTTACAGGAGCTAAAAAGATTAACTGGTCGACTTGCCCTATTGATTATGGGCTACTTCGATGCTCCGGTCATTGGCTGGTGTTCAACATACGCAGGTTTTCCAGAACCAGCATTCCACCAACGTTTACTGAGCCTGATATTCAGTTCATCTCTCATTCAGCATGTCCTATCGCCCATTGGAATGCGTGATGAGCATCAACCTAACTGGCTAGACATGGCGCTCATTTAGAATCTTTACAACATTGATACTGTGCAATGTCTTCCTCCCAAGGTCGAAGCAATCATTTGTACTTCATTGGTGCCATTCACTATACTGGGTACCTGAACCGCCAACCAACGTTAAAATGAATGTGGTTTAGTGAAGGCTGAAATCAACAACAATAACTGGCGCAACCTTTCAGTTTTCTTTCAAATTCTCGATCTTTGGACATTATCACAATTATCGGTATCTTGATCGACGCTAGTGCATTTCTGAGACGCGAATACATCAGTTTTCACAATCATTACCATCATCCCCATGTAGCTGTTCAGAAGTCGTCAGGGGAAGAAAGAACTTCACCATCTGTTTCGTTTTCTCCACAAATCCTGCCTGCGCTACGGCAACCTCCAGGATGGACTTCGCCGTCTCTGGTCATGATCGTCGCGGGTTCCTTTGTTTTCGCCTGCTTGTCGGTGGACACTGCAGTCCGCGAGGACGTATCTCCGGCATTTCAGTGATGATTCCGTGACCTCTTCTGTCCCGTTGTCATTCATGCAGCCCTTGCTATGCGAGTGAAAATCTTAATAGCTCTCAAGTGTTCACATACGAAGATGATGCCTGTGCTGCATGTTAAACTCTCCCCCAGAAAATACTCCTTCCGTAAACTGAAATTAATAACTTGAAGCTATTAAATAATTATACATTCATCCTCCAAAATTACGAAAAAGGACCAAGCCACAGAAAATTAAAAAAAGTTCTTCGATACCAAAATGATGATCTTTCGCCTAGATTTTGGAACTTCTAGGGTGAAATGCCAACCGTTATTTCTGGAAATGAGCGTAACAATACAGAGAAGAGCTTAATGATCTACAGCGACCACATAGTCTAACGTCCTCCTCTTATTCTATGGGTGAAACTTATTGAAATGAAGTTTCAGGTAGTTCCTTAAACTTTCCTTTTTTTCGTAATCAACCCTACCGAGCGCGTGTAGGCTTGAGTCCAGTAGGTGGACTTGATGCGTAAGGAGTCCAAGTAGTGGTTGTATTCGGATCACTACAATCATCAGGTTGAATTCCAGGTTGAAGGTAAAAGGCAAGATTCGCCAGAGTGACGGCTGTATTGTGTACGGGACCCTGTGTTGCTGTCTCAGTCGGCAGTGGCCACTGGCAAATTCAAGGCCGATTTTACCTGCGTCCAGTCGTGCCTGAGAGTTTTTGACTGCGGGACACGAAGGTGGCCCACCTCG